GTAAGCACCGCAACCATCACCACCTCCGCACCACCAGCACCGCAACCACCACCACAAGAACCACCACCACCTCCAACACCAGCATCATCACCACAACCACTTCCACCACCACCATTAAAACACTGCCACCAGCAACACCGTCACTACCACCTCCACCACCAGCACCAGCAACACCGCCACCACCACAACCACTTCCACCACCAGCACCACCTCCACCAGCACCATCACTACCACTTCCACCAGCACAATTACCACCATCACCACCACCTCCACCACCAGCACCATTACCACCTCTAACACCATCACCGCCACCACAACCACTTCCACCACCAGCACCATTACCACCACTGCCACCACCAGCTCCATCACCAGCGCCACCACCACCTCTACCACAACCAACACCATCACCACCACCACCAGCATCACCACCACCACCTCCAACACCAGCATCACCACCACCACCTCCACCACCGGCACCATCATCAGCACCGGCACCACCACCTCCACCACCACAACCTGCACCACTTCCACCAGCACAATCACCACCACCACCACCAGCACGATCACTACTTCCACCACCTCCACCACCATCACCACCACCTCCACCACCAGCACCATTACCACCACTGCCATCACCATCACTACCACCAACACCATTACCACCACTAGCACCATTACCACCACCACCACCTCCACCACCAGCACTAGCACCACCACTTTCACCACCAAACACCAGCACCACTACTGTCACCACCACCACCACCATTACAACCACTTCCACCACCAACACCATTACCACCACTTCCACCATCAACACCATCACAGCCACCATCATTACCACCACTGCCAGCACCAGCACCATTGCCACCATCACCACCTCTACCACCACCAACACCAGCACCACCACCACCAGCACCACAACCACTTCCACCATCAAAACCATCTCCACCACTAGCACCATCACCACCACCACCACCATTACCACTACTGCCAGCACCACCTCCACCACCAGCACCATTACCACTACTGCCACCACCAACACCATTACCACCTCCACTACCTCTACCACCAGCACCGTCACCACCACCTCCACCAGCACCACCACCCCCACCACCAGCACTACCACCTCCACAACCATCACCACCACCACCGATACCATCACCACCACCGATACCACCAGCACCACCATCACAACCACTTCCACCACCACCACCAGCACCATTACCACCAGCACCACCTCCACCAACACTATCACCACCACCTCCACCACAAGCACCAGCATCACCTCCACCTCCAACACCAGCAGCACCCCGACTACTTCCACCACCAGCACCATTACCCCCGCAGCCACCACCACCACCTCTGCCACCTCCACGCCCAGCACCACCTCCACTACCACCACCACCACCATTAAAACACTGCTAAAACCAGCGTCTCCACTACCTCCACCACCAGCACCGGCACCACCACCAGCACCACCACTTCTACCAGCACAATTACCACCACCTCCACCACCAGCACGACCACCTGCACAACACTTCCACCACCACAACTACTTCCACCACCTCCACCACCAGCACCGGCACCACCACCATCACCACCACCTCCACCAGCACAATTACCACCACCTCCACCACCAGCACCGCCACCTCCACCACCAGCACCATCACCACTACCTCCACCACCAGCACCATTACCACCACTGCCACCACCAACACCATTACCACCAACACCAGCACTATCACCACCAACACCACTTCCAACACCAGCACCACCACTGTCACCACCACCAGCACCACCTCCACAACCATCAACACCACCACTTTCACCACCCACCACCACCATTACCACCACTGCCACCACCAACACCATCACAACCACCATCATCACCACTGCCACCACCAGCACCACCATTGCCACCAGCACCACCTCTACCACCATCACCAACACCTGCACCACAACCCCTTCCACCATCAGAAGCATCTCCACCACTAGCACCATCATCACCACCACCACCATTACCACTACTGCCACCAACACCACCACCAGCACCATTACCACCACTGCCACCATCAACACCATTACCACCACCACTACCTCTGCCACCAGCACCACCACCTCCACAACCATCACCACCATCACCGATACCATCACCACCACCTACCACCATCACAACCACAACCACTTCCACCACCACCACCACCTCCGCCACCATCACCAACAGCACCATTACCACCACCTCCACCACAAGCACCATTACCACCACTACCTCTACCACCACCACCTCCACCTCTACTACCAGCATCGTCACTACCACCTCCACCACCAGCACTATCACCACCAAGAGATCCATCACCACCACCAGCACCACCACACCCACCACCAGCACCATCACCACCACCTCCACCACCAGCACCATCACCACCACCAGAATCACCACCTCCACCAGCACCATTGCCACCACCACTTCCACCACTAGCACCACTTCCACCTCTACCACCACCACCACCACCACCCTACCAGAACCAATACCACCAGCACCATCTCCACCCTTAGCACTACCTCCACCACCAGCACCATCACCACTACCTCCACCATTAAAACACTGCCACCACCAGCACTATCACCGCCACCTCCACCACCAGCACAATTACCCCCACTACCAGGACCACCACAACCACCACCACCACCACCACAACCTCCGCAACCAGCGCCATCACCACCACCAGCACCGTCATCACCAGCACCACCACCTCCACCATTAAAACACTGCCACCATCAGCACCGTCATCACCACCTCCACCACCACCACCACCAGCTCTATCACCACCACCTCCACCACCAGCACCATTACAACCACCACCATTAAATCTGCCACCACTACAACCACTTCCACCACCATCACCACCACCTCTACAACCACCTTCACCACTATCACCACCTCTACCACCAGCACCACCACTTCCACCACCATTAAAACACTGCCACCAACACCACCACCAGCACTATCACCACCACCTTTACCACCAGCACTACCACCCCCACCGCCATCACCACCTGCACCACCATCAAATCATTGCCAACAGCACCATTACCACCACTGCCACCTCCACCACCATTACAACCACTTCCACCATTATCACCACTGCCACCAACAACACCATTACCACCACTTCCACCACCAGCACCACCTCTACCACCAACACCATCACCACCACCACTTCCACCACAACCCCTTCCACCATCAAAACCATCTCAACCACTAGCACCATCATCACAACCACCACCATTACCACTACTGCCACCACCACCTCCACCATCAGCACCATTACCACCACTGCCACCACCAACACCATTACCACCAGCACCACCACATCCACCAGCACCACCCCCACCACCAGCACTACCACCTCCACAACCATCACCACCACCTCTACCACCATCACAACCACAACCACTTCCACCACCACCACCTCCGCCACCATCACCAACAGCACCACCACAAGCACCATTACCACCACTACCTCTACCACCACCATCACCTCTACCACAAGTACCTCCACCTCTAATACCACTTCCGTCACCACCACCTCCACCACCAGCACTATCACCACCAAGATATCCATCACCACCACCAGAACCACCAGCACCATCACCACCACCAGCACCACCACCAGCACCATCACCACCATCTCCACCACCAGAACCACCACCAGAAACACCACATCCACCACCAGCAGCACCACCACCACCAGAACCACCACCTCCACCTCCAGCACCACCACAAGCACCAGCAGACCCACCACCATCACAAACACTTCCACCAGCACCAGCACCACCATTGCCACCACCATCACCACTTCCACCACTAGCACCATTACCACCACCACCTCTACCAACACCACTTCCACCTCTACCACCAGCACCATCACCACCACCTCCAGCACAACCAGCACCGCAACCACCACCACATCCATCACCACCACAAGTACCACCACCTCCACCATCACCAACAGCACCACCACCTCCAACACCAGCATCATCACCACCACCACAACCACTTCCACTACCACCACCACCTCCGCCACCACCACCATTAAAACACTGCCACCAGCAACACCGTCACTACCACCTCCACCACCAGCACCATCACCACCGCCACCACCACAACCACTTCCACCACCAGCACCATCACTACCACTTCCACCAGCACAATCACCACCATCACCACCACCTCCCCCACCAGCACCATTACCACCATCACCACCTCTAACACCATCACCGCCACCACAACCACCACCAGCACCACCTCCACCACCACCAACACTATCACCACCACCTCCACCACGAGCACCACCACCACCACCATCATCACCTCCACCACCAGCACCATCACCTCCACCTCCATCACAAGCACCACCACCCGCACAAACAGCATCACCTCCACTACCACCGCCGCCACCATTAAAACACTGCTAACACCAGCACTCCACCTCCACCAGTACAATCACCACCACCTCGACCACCACAACCTGCACCACTTCCACCAGCACAATCAACACCACCTGCACCACCACCACAACTACTTCCACCAGCACCATCACCACCAACACCGCCACCTCCACCACCAGCACCATCACCACCACCTCCACCACCAGCACCATTACCACCACTGCCACCACCAGCACCACTGCTACCACCACCACCAGCACCATTACCACCAGCACCACCTCTACCACCACCACCAACACCACCTCCACCACACCCAGTCACCACCACCACCACCACCTCTACCACCAGCACCACTTCCACCACCACCACCATTACCACCACTGCCACCACCAACACCATTACCACCACTGCCACCACCAACACCATCATTACCACCACTGCCACCACCAGCACCACCACTTCCACCAGCAGCACCATCACCACCTCTACCACCACCATCACCACCACCACCTGCACCACAACCCCTTCCACCATCAAAACCATCTCCA